TCATGAACAATTCTCAAAATATATCAGTAGTAGACCCTTTAAAGAATATATGTACAAAATATGATAATTCTATCTGTTAATTAAGGTTTTTTACATACTACTTTTTGTAGACGTCTGAGGAAGAAGTCTTCTTGTAGATGTGCAAGCAGGAACAAGTACAGTAAACTGATCTGGTCATGTGACATTTCACACCAGTCACATGATATTAATACATTTTAATCAAGACAATCAATTTTTTTTTTTTTTATTAAAAGTTGAATTTCTTGCCCAAATCCAATAACCACATTTTTAGAGCTCCCAGAAATAAGATGACCAGAGATGACACGGTTAATGTTCACAGACTATCACTATTAAGTTATGACAACATATGTTTTTACATTGCTTTAACTCATCAAAATAAGTTTAGTAATTTTCAATTTTTTTATGTTATACTTGGTTGAAACCAAAATTTTCACTTTTTTATCTATGACATAAAACACACCAGTTAGCCTGCTTGTGGTTTTCAAATTGTATTATGTCAGCTTGTAGTCTTTAAACTTTATATAGGCTTCAAAATGTATAAATTTTCGATTAACTTGTACAGATTATCTTGATAGACAAAACGTGTAAGGGCCACAACTCTTTGTTGAGCACAGATCTTATTTGATGCGATTTTCCAAAAGTCTACGGGGGAAATGCATAGCTTTTCGATTGAGGGAACCCATGCGCCGCTAACTTAGTTGTCCTACAAAGTGACGTAATAACTTTGGCACTCTATAGTAACAGCTTTAATGACACTAAGCATCATACACTTGCCAACTTTGTAAAGGGTTAAAGCATCATACACTAAACGACTGAGGATCACACACACTAGGCTTTCATGTCATTCTGAACCCAACAAACTGAAACTTTAGACTGATTGCAAGGAGACGATTTAAAAGTTGAAAAAAAAAAATGCTTTCTAAAATTGGTTTTTGCTTTCTATCAAACATGTTTGATATTCTTTGACTGCATGGATTAATAGTCTCAAGCCTGTGCCTATCAATCACATGATATTTGGGCGAAATCTGTCAACCCTGACTGTCAAAGCACTGCAGACTGGCTTTGACTTTTCTGCCTTTAGCTAGCCCTTCTGGGAACAGTTTGCGAATGTTCCACACTGAGTCATGCTCAAGTGGAAAAGCAACTACTTTTCTCAGAACAGGTTGGCACGATGGTTGAAAAGCATTTCTGATAATACTACAAAGTATGTAGAAAGATATATTCAAATGCCTAACATTCACGCAATTCAACACATCCCCCAAAACTAGCAAACCCCTTTATTTGCTTAATTTCATTTCAAAGAGTTTTGCATAAATTCCCCACAGCTCTGCATAACACATTTTTTAATATTCAAATTCTACTGAATTTCCCACTTACAATCAACAGAGAGAGTATGATGAAAAGTGTACAGATTCTGTATAGGACTAGTCATAACTTTGCAGAACCATTTTTGATATCACTTTTATGATTACCAGTCTCATTCTATCACATGTAGTGTTTAATTGTTGCATTATATTTTGGTAACACTGTGTAATAGATGCATATTTTAAAGTGCATTCGATGTGATGAGTCGAAATTATTTTCTTGGTCTAAAAATAGACAACATACCACAGAAGAGGTACATTGAAATTACATGGGTTTCACACATGTAATTTCCAGACTATCTTAAATGCACCTGTCTTTCAATCTTTTATTGAGATAAAATAATTATTTTTAACAAATGACACTTGTGCATACGCAAATGAGATTTGTGACATTTACTCACCTTCATATCTTGATATTTTTCTATTGAACACAAAAGAAGAGATAATTTAATTAATATCTGGTTGGGTGAATTCAACTCAGCTGATAAATGTCTTATGAAGAACATAACAAGACGGTTAGCCATGAATCAATGACCTTGAAGACGGCAACAGTGGCTCCTTATGAATGAACCCATGAGCGCGCGCGCACGCACACACGCACACACACACATCTATCAATCTCAGATCGCGGTTGGTCGGCATAATCATCTGTCACTGTCTTAATGGCCCTCTCCCTCAAGTCAAGTTGATGAAAGTGCCGGGCAGACGACGGATAGCTGGGGAAAAGAGTGTGTAAGGCTTCGGCTCGGTTCCCCTTCTCATTAACCTCAGTGATGGCCTGACAGACAGGTGTCGAGATGAGCAGTTGACTAGTATCTGTAGAAGATGAAGGGCTGGGTGTAAGAATGACAAAAAAGAGATCGAGAGAAAGAGGGGGGAAAGAGCTATGAGAGACACAGCAGATGAAATCAGTCAGTTAAAGATTGAATAAGCCAGATACTGACATGTCATTAGCTTTACAAAAAAAAAAAAAAAAAAAAGATCTAGATTAAAAGTTCAGGTCAAATTCAACCGACTAATTCAAGGGGTTGCTCTTTTATAACTCATTTACAATGATTTACAGACGACATCATTGTCAAAACGATCCCCATTCACACAGATCCAAGAAAATGACTAAAAACCCTGCATTATGCTGCCAGGACATAAAACACTATAGACGCAACACGTAATATTTGCGTTTTTGTTGTTTACATGGAGACCATTTTCAAAAACTTGCAGTTTGAAACCCGTTTACAAAAGTTTACGCTGTCAGGCACCCAAAACACCATTGTTGTGTAAACAAATGGCTAAAACACATAAAACTTTTGCGTTTTTTATTTGAAAATGGTGTCGTGTAAACAGCCCCTTAGTTAATAGTAGTAGCTGAAGTGTTAATGTACTGTACTACTCATTCGCCCTGCATTCCATCCTGCATAGTTACCTATTAATGATGGACCATTATTCTAAATTGTTTTAAAAATGTTTTTCACCTGTTCATCCTCCATCAGGTAAAAAAAAGTAAAGTAATAGCACTTCCACAATTTAGATAATTTGATAATAAATATTTGATTTTTAATTGCAGACTTTAGCATCTGAGCACAATTTGAGATATGAGATCTCTGAACTCTTTTCTCTCAGGAGAAACATGAGAAGCAGATTATGTGTCAAATGGAAAATACAATGTTAGATGCAAAAAAATCAAATACAACTAACCTTATAACCATGCATAATTATTATAGCAAAATAAACATAAACTTTAAAATCAAGAAAGTGCTTTAATATAGTTCGTCCAATTAATAAAATCCATTATCTTTGCACAAACTAATATCTATAAACGTAATGATATATTTAGTTTAGTTTACTATGGCCAAACTGTTAACGATGAACTCACTTTTCTTCCCTGTGGGCCAGTCTCACCAGTCCAGTTTCACCGCACATGGTTTTAGACATCTAAGCCAAAGTCCTAATCACTCTGAAGAGTGTGTAAGTAAGTGGGTATGCGTGGGCACGGGTGGGCTGTCACAGTCTGGCCACCCTGCGGTAATGAGAGTCAGGAAGAGGGTGATCAGAGACGAGGAATCACATCATTAGGGCCACATTCCCTTGCAGTCAAGAGCGAGAGAGAGAAAGAGACAGCGCAGTCAGTCACTCCGCTGAACAGATCAAACTATAATGAGCCTGTCTCTTTGTTCTGTGCCCAGGCCTCTGATGCACTCCTTCTACACACACACACGCACACACACACACACAGTGACAGCGAAGGAAGAAAGACAAATACTGAAATAACTGTCTATACATGAAGAAACTCTCTGTGCATCTTTATTTGTCAGAGATGTGGCAGCTTGCATATGAAGAATATCGCTCTGTTCCAAAACCTATACTGAGCTGCCTGTGTAGGCAGCATTTTAGCATTATAAGCTTGTTTCTGAGTCAAACTTTGTTCTGAAAGGTTGGCAGTGAGATTAGAATCAGGCTAAGAAAGCAGCATGTGAGGACCACCTGTCGGCGGTGGGAGTGAAGGTTACAAGTAGGTTTTTTACTAGCGCTTCTGTGAAGTTCACAGAAATTTTCAAATTTACCTACCTCCATACTTAATCTGACTCCAATCTTAAATGGTTATTTAAATTTTAGACTGTGTTTCTAATTGAGAACTAATTATAAATATTGGTAATGTTTTCATTTAGATTCGTTTATTAGGCACCCAGCGTTGCACAGGATGCAGGGTTAACTATTTACCGTTAGGTTCCACCGCTACCAGCTTGCTCATAACAAGAAGTGTGATTTTCATAGTCACGCTCATACATAAAACTTGCTAAGTAAGTGATAGTCAGTAATCAAAAGTCCCCAGATGATCTGCTCCATACTCCATTCATTCACGAGGCCCTATTTTAGATTTGAGACATTTGAAGAAAGTGCTTGTGAAAAAACCATCCAAAAAGCTTACAACCAGGAAAATCCTCGCGCACGTTCGCCCGAAAGATACCTATTTTCAGATTCAGATAATACCCCATCACAGTCCATTCTTGAGATTCGCCTTCGACGGTCAGGTATATCAATACTCCGTCCTCCCATTCGGCCTGTCACCTCGCACATTCAAGAAGTGCATGGACCCTCGCGCCCTAGAGAAATCAGGGCCTGCAAATTATGAACTATTTGGACGATTGGCTAATTCTGGCATTGTCAGACACGGAACTGTTGTCTCACAGAACAGTGCTTCTCAGTTACCTGGAAAGCTTGGGTCTCTCGGTCAACTGGACCAGGAGCTAATTAACACCCAGTCTGTCAGTTTCTTTTCTGGGAATAGAACTGGATTCTGTGGCCATGACGGCTGTATTGACACAGCACATGCCCGGTGTTCGTCACCTCGTCTTTCCAGAAAGGCAGCATCGTTCCACTGAAGACATTTCAGGGGATGCTGGGCTAGGGCCTCAGCCGTGGCAGTGCTTTCTGCGCATGCACCCAGTGCAACGCTGGCTGAATGCTGTTGCGTCTCGCCAGGCCTGGACCACCGGCTGCAAACGAATCAGAGTGACTCAGAACTGCAGCTCAGCTCTGCAGCCCTGGTTAGTGGCCGACTGGTATCAGCGGGGTGTGATGATGGGAGCTGTCTTATATCGAAAAGTCATCTCGATGGATGCGTCCAACTCAGGTTGGGGTGCACTCTTCAAAGGCAGACCGGCCTTTGGTCAGACCAGGAGAAGCTTCTCCACAAAAACTGTTTGGAGATATTGGCGGTCAAGAACGCGCTGAGGCCTTTCCACACGATGGAACGCCTCCTTGTTTGGTCTCAGTGTAACCCCTCCACCCGGGTCCCACTCAACCCGCTCCGAGCGGGCCTCGAACCCGGGTCTCCGGCATGAGAGTCAGGCGCTCTAACAAGGAGGCTAAAGACTGCAGCCTCTAGCGTCTGTCGCTAGAGCGCCTGTTGAGATTGGGGAATGAGGTTTACTCGCACAGCAACTACTAGCTGGTCTCCGTTACACTCACCCCCCTAAACCTCACTCTCATCCGGGTCACGGCACCAATGTAACCCCTCACACCCGGGTCCCACTCAACCCGCTCCCTGCGGGCCTCAAACCCGGGTCTCCGGCATGAGAGTCAGGCGCTCCAACAAGGAGGCTAAAGACTGCAGCCTCTAGCTATTGAGATCGGGGAGTGAGGTTTACTCACACAGCAACTACTAGCTGGCCTCCGTTACACTAGCATCATCTGTGCTCGCTGAGAGCTGCGCATGTGCCAGGCGACCTGAACGACGGCCCAGACAGACTGTCCAGGAACAATGTTCCCATGTTGCAGGGAATGGTCCCTGCACCCCCAAACAGTCCAAACACTGTAGCGCCTTTTCAGCAGAGCGGAGATCGACCTCTTTGCGTTAAGAAGGCAACGCTCACTGCCCAATCTGCCCCACAAAGGCAAAAGACCTTAAGTCACTAGAGTGTGGAACTGATAAAAATGACTTTAAAGTTTTTTAGTTGTCCAGACAAATTAATTATAGGTAGGAATCTGAAAATCTGGCAATTCAATGTTTTAATAATGAAAATTATCTACATTAAAAATGTTGATCTCAAACTGGACCTTTGACCCCAATTTTGAAGTTACTGTACTCTGCCTTTATATTGCCTGCAAAAAGTGATAAGTCATGCCAAGGCAAAAGGCAGTAACTTCCACATTATTGATATCTGGTTGCTGATCACCATTAACAAAATCTTTATAGTAACAATTGTGTTTTTAGTAACAAACTTGTTTATTTGTGTATATGTTATGTAAGGTTGGTAAAGCATTTTGATCAATTTGTATTGTTTTAAAATGTGCTTTAGAAATAAAACGATTGATTGATTATGTTGGATGATTCACAATTACTTTTAGCCATTATTGCTATCATCTGATTTGGTTGCATCCTGATGGCATTATTAATTATTTATGATGGCAACATGATGACATTTTGAAGGTCCACACTCTTCACCAATGTGTCCTCTGGCCAGTCCTTCTCTGCATCAGCCTCGTACATTTTTCTGCTCTGCACAGCAGACTCTTCATGTCCAAGCCACCTCTGGCACTGTAAGCAGTTCATGTCATGGCCATCCCCATCATGGTCAGTTTTCATGTGCTGATCCTGCAGTATGCACTCCTCACACTCCTCCTCTCCAAGCTTTGCAAAGCTGATGTTCTTAAGTTTTACAGCTTTGCGGTAGCTTTCATAGGAGCAGCTGTTGCCTTTTTCCAAATAATCAGCATACATGAGCTTAATGTTAACGTCGCTAGGAAGATAGCGACGATGTGGGGCATGCTCTCTTCGGAGGTGGCTCACTGATGGGTGGAATGATTCAATGTGATCGTAAAAAGGCTACATGTCTAGCTTGTTGGATGGTGTATGCCTTCCTCTTTGGTCTCTTGTGATCATGTCATTCCCATTCCTCATCACAGAGAGGACCAAACTGTCATTCGCTGGGTGGTACCCCAAAGTGGACAAGAAAAAAGTTTTACAGACCTGCTGTGGGACCTGATCTGCATTCTTTAGCCTGTAAAAAAAGGACCGTCGACTTGTTTTTCCATCCACACAAACTGCTGCTGTTGGTAGCTGGCTGACACTGTGGAACATGAATGCACGTCTGTCTGTTTAGTTGATGTCCCAGTACATCTTCCAGATCTCTTTACGCCTCTCCTCACTAAAATTGTCTGTGCATTTTCTTATGCATTTACACATCTCCCATTGGTGGGGCTTTGGCTGGAGGGAGGGTGGGCTCTGGTGCTCGCAGTGGAGCGAGGGTGGGCTCTGGCAGTAGGGCTCTGGCTGGAGCGAGGGTGGGCTCTGGTGCTGGTAGTGGAGCGAGGATGGGCTCTGGTGCTGGCAGTGGAGCGACGGCGGGCTCTGGCTGTAGAGCTGTGGCTGGAGCAATGGGGAACTCCATAAGAGCATCAAACGTGGTGTCAGGTGTGCTGCAGAACAGCTCATCAGAACCAAACTCTGGGAAACTAATATCCAAACAGCTATCAATAACCATGTTTTTGATTTGGGTGCTGGGTCACAATCAATATCGCCATAAGTAACTGCAAAGAACAGAACAAATTTACAATGGAGACATGCATCGAAAATTATGGAACATGAACATGAAAATTTTATTAATTAATGTCAATGTTATGAAAATGCCTACCACTGTCCAGAACGATGATTTTTTTTTTGTGTGTGGTGCGTCTGGACCACAAGGAATATCACCACAAGGAACTGAAAGGAATAGAGCAAATTTAATAATAATAATAATAATACAATAATAAGGCATGGAGGGAAATTTCAATAGGAAATAACATTTTATATCCAATACACGTAGTTCCAGCAAACATTTGTTTTTACTAATAGGCTATTTTATTAATAGTATTAATATTAATATATAATATTATTAATCATCTATTTTAACAAAGTATCAGGTGTAGGCCTACAAGTTAGAGCCACTGGTTAATCAAGGGTTAAATTTGGCTCGCTGACTGGTGGATGGAGTAATTTGAATATTGTTTTTCTGACATAACTGACTACCAGACAAAAAAGCTATAGGCTACATGTGGGTGCATACCTTTTTGAAATGTATTATTTATTGCAATGTAAAAGGATATAATTTCTTTTACATCTAATTTAATGAAATCGCCTGACTTGGATTGAAGTGAACGCCAGCAAGAAGGAATAATGCTCAGAATGCTTGTGGATTAACAATCTCCGATGACTGCCACGGATTTTATCAAGTTACAAGAAAAGGTAGGATAAGGATTTGAAAGCTGTTTCTACTGTTTTTTTTTTATTATATGACATTATTTACGGTTAATTTACTTATTTCTGGTAAGTCTCTGCTTGTTTGCGTATGGAGAAGTTTGGTAACCTATTCATAACTGACTAACTTAGCCTTTTGCTGCTAGCTAGCTAAATTAAGTAAATTGTGATCTACGTTTGTCTAATGCAATGTTTTGTTTCACAATTTCTTACCTTCACAATGATGTCTGCGTTTCAAAGCCATCTCAACCATGATTTTCCCTTGAGAGTAATGGACC